ATTTCCATGGTGATAATAAAATTAATAGCTATTTTTAAATACTCTATTGTTTATATTAAATATACATCTCGACGGAACATAGATGTCGTTGATCTAAATTCTTCGAAGTAGAGGTCGCTACACGGATGGTACAGGTGCTGCTATCTATCGGATTTTTCTATTTCCCCTTTTAGTTCCTGTCAAAGAACTAAAACGTTCTTAGATGGCAGCAGCATCGAGAAACAAGGAACGCACTAGTGTGCGACAATGACAGCGAATTTTAGTTCCGCCACTTCGCCGCTACGTGACGCTAGCGTTTTAAGGTCCATAAATCGAGTAAATTTTTATTTGCGAAAAGAACTAATTAGAAGAATTAATTTACGAACTTTTGTAACTGTATCTTGATAATTAAGCTGTAAGCTTTCTTTCTACGCAGCATTTGATCCACGAAAATCTTTAATGAAGATTTACAAAATTCTGCCCAACAGATCGAAGTTTTAATTTCTTGTGAACTTAAGTTTTTTGTTTAAGAAGGTCGTATTTAGTATAATATATAACAATATATAACATAATAAAATGTCACGTGTAGTAACGTGTTGAAGAATAAATGCGTTCATGCGCATATCGTCGATGTAAGTATGAAATTTCTATGATATGCAAAATTTTTTCATCAATAAGAAACTATTCTCTTTTCTAATTTTCAGAGATTTCTTCGGTGTCATTTCTGTTCTCTGCACTTCCTCGCTTCTCGTGAAAACACAGAGCCCAGCGAGAAATAATTACTTTCCTCTCCTTTGATCGGTTTCATTGTCTTCAATTCGTAAGTACAATTCCATGCCAGTCAATATTGTACTGTAAGAATCATTTAATCATTTCTTCAATTCCAGCTGAATCTCCGCGAACGTTTTGCCTCTGGTTTCCGGCGTAACGCGTAAGATGATCGCCGTGCAAGTCGCCACGACCGCGGAGTAGAAGAGAAACGGAAGCGAATGGCCGTAGCCCAATGTGATCGCTACCCATATGTAAAGCTTCGTTCCCAACGTAGCCAAAAACCCGGCGATCATACTAACGGCGCACGTGCTGACCGCCTTGATCTCCGTCGCGAAGATCTCCGACATTAAGATCACCTGCAGGCACAGTATACCGGAATTAAACATGAACACCAGCACGACGGACGCCACGAACGGTATCCACGAAAGCGAGTGTACGTCCTCGTGCATGTATTCCCCGGCGAAGAAGTAGAGGCCGATCGCGAGATTGCAAATCGAGATGCTGACACCAGCGACGAGTATCAGCGGCTTCCGGCCAAATTTGTCGACCAGCAATACGGTGACGAGAATTGAGATCACTTGCGTCACGCCGATTACGACGTTTATCTCGTAGTCGGACATTACGTTGCTGATCGATTTAAATATTAACTGGCCGTACGCCTGTATGGTGAAGAAACCACCGAAATACTGGATCGTGGAGAACATCGCTATGCTGAGGATCGCCTTTAAGTTCGCCCTCGACGCGAACATGTCCCTCAGGCCTTTGCTCTTCGCCGATTCTTTCACCCTCCTCGACAGAGAGTCGACGATCGCCTGCAGCTCCTCGGAAACGTCCGTTTTGCCCCGTAGTTTCTCCAGCACCTCTTCCGCCTCGTCTGTTCGATTGCTCATTGCCAGGAAGTACGGCGACTCCGGCATGAACCAGAACGTGATCACGAAAGCGACGCTGACGGCGAGGAAAGCTCCAGCCATCGAGGATAATGAGAGATAGGGAGCGATCGCGAATGTTAGGAAGATGCCGATGTTGTAAATGATGGTCGTCACGGAGCCTCCGATGCCTCGTGTCTCTGGCGACGATATCTCGCCTATGTACATCGGGAAGACGCAGATGAATAATCCTAGCGATATGCCTGCCAGAAATCTCGCCACGTACAGTTCCTGCGAGGAGAAATAAAACGAATGAGAAGGAGAATTTGGTTCATTATTCTTCTTTTTCTTTCTTTTTTTAAGACCTCGAAGAAAGAAAATTCAGGGTACGAGTATCACAGGAAGATTTCACACTTTTAGATCGGTTGATAAAAAAAAAAAAAAATTGAGGCATTCTGTCATCTATCTAAAAACAATTATAAAGCAGAGAAAGCTGAATGCAAATGGTGATGTCAAATAAAAAAAGAAAAGAGAGATTTTAATAACGAATATATCGACTGCAAAACGCGTGTATTACTTTCATTTTCAAATGATGAATTAATATTTATTTATTATTATAGTAACGCAACTCACCCAAATGGACGAAGCGATGATGATTAAACTCCAACTGACTATGACCGGCAAACCGCTAAGTAACAGGGTATTTTTCCTGCCGAATTTATCAACGATCAAAGTATTAATTAGCGGTGCTAACATGTGTCCAAAAGCTACGATGGCCACCAACGTGGAAATGGATGACGCTGTGACTGGGATAGGTGAGTCTTCGGACATTAGTATCACGATGCTTGGTGAATTCCATCCTATGACGAATCCCATGCAACCGCTCATGATAGAACCTGATATATATCAATGTACATATACTGCTCACAAAAATTAGATATTTCAAAATGAATAGCGATAAGAAAAAGAAGCATTTGATTTTTTTTTTTTATTAAACAAGAACAACTTTCTTTGACTTGTCGTTTGCTTTTCTGATGTTCTTGCTCAAAATAAAAAAAAAATCAAATGCTTCTTTTTTTTTATCGCTTCGCATTCATTTTGAAATATCCCCTAATTTTTGTGAGCAATATATTTTATTCCATCTCTTCTTTTCAAGCGTCAAAGCGTAAAATGAATCTACGATTACATGTTGAAATGGCCAAGTATTCCCAAGTCTTCGAGCCATTTGGCGATGTGTACTTCTTTCCCTGTACGTCGACACTCATTTTGGAAATTCAGACGCCACGCGCACTTTAAGAATGTTAACTCAGTAGCCGAGTAAAACGAACTAACATTATTTGATGTGAGGGACCATAGATTGTTATCGAAAGATATTCGTAAATCTCGGTTATCAGTAGTACTAGTAATATGGGATATCATATAAGTGTCGTTTCATCTTATGTAGGTCTTGATAAGGAAAGGCATTTCTCCAAAATTCTACCAAACTGTGTTTGCAATACATTTTTATATACTTTTATATTCTTAATTTCCTGACTCCGGATGCAATAAGAGTGCAAAATATACAAATGTCGTTGAAATCAGCGAGACGTGCTTGCAAACAATTACTATTAATTTGTCTATCTATAGATTCTACAATGAAAAGTAAAAGTAACATATGAGAAGCATCTTTACACAAGCGTTATCAGTGATAATAAACATGTCACGTCGCGGCAATAAAAGCCATTAAAAAACAATGACTATCGCAATCTTATATTTGTACGTTGCAAATACAACAGCCTCGCGCATTGACTAATTAACGCATTGCAACTGTTAATTAAACATTTTGAACGGAAAATCTTTACTGAAAGATTTACTGAAATTTTTACTGGAAGATAGTGGAGATATTTCTCACTTACAGTGAATTTTTCATTCAGTTTTAGCAAGAATAAATGCTAAACGTTTCAGTATTAATAAACTTTAATATATAGGTATGGAATTTTTCATTCTTACATATGTTTACCATTAATAATGAGAATACTTGATCAATCAGTTTTGATAATTTTTTATTCTACTGTACAATGTTATAGTATCTCGTTTTACAGTTCGTATATATACAATTATACTATACGACGGTTGTCTTGTAAAAGATCCTATACGTTACATCAAGCTTTTCAATTTTATTCATTTATATACAATCTCGGTAAAGAATCTGTATTTTCTCAATGAGGAACGATCGAGCATGGATCGTGATTAGATGGACATGACTTTCAATTTTAAATCAAAGCTTATGTCCAAACTACTTGTTTGAGTATTGTGAATAAGTGCACATCGACGTCATGTTGAAGTATTATGGAATATTGCATTCTAAGCTCTCTAACTATATGCTTTGATGATATATTAAATATCTTTTAATCCCTTTCAAGCAATAAATAATAATTTATAATAATAATTAATAATTTATAAAATTGTACAACGAATCATTCTATATATTAAAAATAATAAGATAAGTTCATTTATAATTCATTATAGTGATTATTATTTTAAAAATATCTATTGTACATATTCTACATAGATTCCATTTAGAATTGAAGATTAATTAACAAGTTGTTGTTGTTCGTGTTACATTGAAGATTAGAGCAAGATTAAAATTATACGTAACTTCAACATGACGATACAAGGCACGCTCAAAAGCATAATATTATAGAAAATAAAGAAACATAAAACACGCAACACACTATCCTTCGGTCTAACAACGAAACAATCACAATACACATTTTAGAACTACATAAAGTATGATACTTTTGTTCTCTTTTCCATCAAAACGTGATTATTGCTAAAACGACAAAATATACAATAATCCGTTTAAAAATGATATAATTTCATACATATGATATAAACATAATTTCATACACAACCGTTTCAGTTTTCCCTAGAGGATCTAGAAAAAGCAACTCGACCAGATCATTATGCGAGTATTTCATTATTTTCATCAACAATACACAGCAACACAACTAATTAACAAATGAATCTTAATGTATGCATGTTCCACAATTAATGATATATAATTAACAAATTCTATGCTCCTCTTTCTTTCTCTTTCATTCATGTATTAACACATTGCTTTCCGTTTTTAACATTATTTGAGAAAATACTTGGCAATAGAATTCTACGTTGGTAAATTTATATTTTTATAACTGGAAAGATGAGAGAATCAAATGCAACATCATATAAAAAGTTTGAAATTGGAAAGTAAATTTTATTATCTTAGTTGACTAGCAATGCATTAATAAGAATTAAAGTTTCATCTCCGTGGATCTATGTAAAAGATGACTAAATTTTTTAATTTGGCCACAGATGCGAGAAACTCGCGATGAATTATTTCTTAATATCAATGCCATGAATGTACATAATGAACACGTGTGAATTCTTTATGCTTTGTCTTTGGAGCTTCTACACTTTATGATCACAATTATGAATAAAAATTATTTCTTCTTAAAATTAACAGTTTTTTGAACGTGAAGCATAAAAATAATTAAATTTCAAGCGAATGACAGTGAAAAAAATATTTTCTCAATGCTTAAAATTATTTAAATTAAAATTAGTAGTTTCGTATTTGAAATTAAATTTAATACTTAGTAACATTATAATAAAATAGAGAAGAGGAATAAAATGCAACTCACAAAAAGTTAATATAATTGAAATAAAAAAAAAACCATTTTTAGTAAAAGAATTATTCACACGTGTCTTGTGAAAGATGAGCAATAGTACACTAATTAATAATATGAAAGAACGATTCTTATCTATGGGATGTGTCATTCAATATTTATGAAATGCTAGCGATAAAATTGTACTCTGAAAACTATCTCTTCAAAGTGGTAGAGTAATCTGTCTATCTCGATTATCAATTACATTATGTAAAACTTCGAAGAACAATCAGCAGCAATGTACCTTACACGTTAAAAATCAATTGCCACGCTTCGAAACTTGTAATAAATAATTAAATCGCTTGGTCCATTTTTTTCTCAAATATGCGCGTAAATGTTTCTCATGGTATATCACGTTTTTCTGATTTTGAGTCAAATTATAATATACTAGCTGAACTTGAAATTCCACAAGAAAAAAAAAGACATAAGTTGCTAACACTAAAAATTACATACATAGTGGGTTATTTTACTCTGAAAGAAACGTTGTAATTTTTGCTTTCTATAGTTTAAGATTTGTATATAAGTCATTATTAAAAATAAAATCTTCGTTCTCACTCGAGAATAGAGTATTAAATAATAATGCAAGCGTCTGTTCACAAGTGTGTATAAACAACGTATTGAAAAATTATAAATTGTCTATTTTTATGATTCGTATAGTGATTTAAACATAATGCGATTCATGACACAGTAATGAATTTAAAATTAACAAATCGTGAATCCTTTTCTAGTCTAATTTTTTGTCGACAAAATTACGTTTCCTATTACTAATTATTTCGATTAAAATAATAAATAAACGTATAAAATTGATATTTACCTCGTCTAACTTATTAGTTATTGCAATATACGTTGTTTGCACGCTCTTTAGATATTCTGCTTACAGCAAATATTGTAAAAAAAGTAAATTCTTAATAATAATAATATCAATAATACTAATAGTAATAACTAATAGGATCACATCTTTGGTACACGATACGTTAGTTTCAACAAACTTAGCTAGCTTCTCTATTTCAGTGTCCTACGGCAAGATGGGCGAAATTAGATCATTTATCTTTGCACTGAACTCTTATTGTTATTAATTTTCGGAACAGGGCAAGACCTTTGTTTTCATTATCACTCATGTATCAACTATCTGTCAAACAATTTGTCATCTAAAAATGACTATTTCACATCAGCATAACAGTCTTTCATTTGCATTATTAAATTTCTCTTAAATCCTTAATAATAGGGTCTTAAAAAGTTTCACATTTCTTCAATATCAATAACATTCATCTCTTTTCGTCTTGTATTATTTAGAATTTGGTAAATTGTGCCGCTTTAAAGAAATGTATCCTACAGAGAAGCATACGATTAAATTTAAACTACCTCTAGAATCATTCATAAAGAATGATTTTAACATAGTGTAAATAACAGAGCATCTCTTACCTAATTATTGGAATGTTCATAATGAATTAACATATACTGGAAATTCCATGAGTCAAGCTCTTTTCAAGAACAATGTGAAATTCGCTTAATGGCTCCAGAATATGAACGAGGAAATTTAATAATGTACAATTTCTTAAGAAAGACGTTTCTTCGTACATGTCCGCAGTAGAGCGTGCCTCGCTCATTGGCCGAAGCATTGAATGAAGAAGTTGTTCTCTAAAAGAAAAAAACAATTTGTAGGAATATAATCGATTAATATTCGAGCTAAAAAAAAATTATGAATTACCTTGTTGCTAAGCAAATGAATAACTGAAATTTGCCATCTTTACCAAGAGTCTGACTGAACATGTTAATCTGATCAATAAGATGGCAATAACATCGTAAAGTTGCAAATCTTCGATTGTTCTCTGCGTGAATTCGTCTATCTCTATTCAATCTCTGTGAATATTCGTCCATTTCTTCCAACAAAGAAATTTCAAAGTTTTCTTTCACTCGTACTGAAACAAATGAGGCAATTTATTTATTTGATAATATTTATTTGAAAATTAAAAATAACAACTTACAGAGGTAATCCCAAACATAAAAATTTCTCCCGAATATCCTCTGATTTTTAAAACCGAATAAAAATATTTGCTCTAATGACGGCACAAGACCACCTTCCCCACAAAGTAGAGCAGTCAAGGAACCGTCTTGACACTCTCTTCTATAGTGGAATTTGACAATTGCATTTACAGATTCACCTGTGAAATTAGGTAAATTTTTTTTCTAAACTTATTTCGACTTTATATACTGAATTAGGTGTATTTCACAATAATTACCCAACATATGTTGCAATTCGACTTGAGACAATATAGGACGCCTAGGTATACTAGGAGACCTGCATCTTGGTGGTGTCGAGCATGACTCAACCAGTTCTTCGCTGTCGATACTATGTGGTACCAAGGCACCTACCAACAATCTCTCCGTAGATCCGTCATCGATACCTCTGCCAAGCCATCTGCCACAAGGGAATTTAAATGTGTGCCCTGTAACCTCGTTTCTCACAACAACGTGTTCTACCATCCATTTAGGCGAAAGGCCTGTATTGTCATGTCCTATGCGTAACGTTGAAAGCACCCCCAAATTCTTATGCTAAATAAACAAAAGTCATAAAACTTATTAATAATCGTATTAATTTGAAAAGTCGTGATTATCAAATTACAAGGACATACATGGAACACAAATTCCAACGCTCCCTTGGGAATTGGGACTGGATTTGTTTCACACAGTGTACCAGAGATAGCTATCCAGCTATTTGCTGAAGTAGTAGCTGCGCTAGCTTTTCGACTAGGAAATATAACAACCCTGTACGGCAACTTTGTAGTCGGGTAATTGTTTGTGAAGCAGAAATAATCGACGGCATTCAACGTCAAAAGATGGTACAAGAATTGCTCCTTCTCTTCCTCGCAACGCAAAAATGCCGAACGCTTATACTGGCTTCTAAAAGTAAAACAGTACGAAAGATCTTCAATGTCGCTACTTCTACATATTTTGCAATGTTAACTATTTTTTTTTTTTTTGTTTTTTGTATGTATTATCTTATTCAGATAAATGTCATTTCTTGCAAACTTTACTTTAACAATCCAGTGTCCGACAATAAAGTTTTCAGATGACGAGAAAGAAGTTTCTTTTCGAGTGCTAGTCGAACCCAGGCTCTGGCGTATCCAATGTGCGTTTTAATATCAGTCATCGCCTGCACGTTCCGGATGTCGAAAAGCAAAGAATCAGGTAAAGGCCTCAAGTGTTCCGGACCGATTTTTCTGTCGCCAGGAGACTTGTGCTTGTCGGTTCCTCGTGTAGGTGAATCGATCTCCAATGCCAAATTTGGTATATCTGTTATTAACACGCAAATCCAATTACACGACAGCCCTCAATAGATAAAACATACATTTTTCACGCTTCTATAAAAGATACTTCATGCAAATGATAATCTCATGCTTTGGACGATGACGAAATAAATACATCCTACAACGAATCACTACGTTCCACGTAACAGAAAATACAGTTCTGTTCATCTCCTTCAATTTACAATTACATTTTGTCATGCTGATTATTTCAAATTTTTGCACTTAAGCTGCAGTGCATCGCTAATAAAAAAAAAAAAAAATGGCAGTTTTGGCATTACATATCTGTAATATCTGTACATTACGTAAACACGTATTAAAAATTATCTAGTAATATTTGAAACATCAATATCAAATCATGCGATTTACCAACATTTATGATGGTTATTGAATTTAAATATAAGAATAATATGTATACGTATTAGAGAACAAAAGCCAATCGAATATACTCGTGGCAAGCCAACATTAGGGCTTACCATTAAAATTCTCCTTGATATAAGAAGCAATTTCAAAAATATTTTTGCCCTTTAAAGATGAAATTAAACGCTCCGGTAATCCAAGAAACTTACTTGGCGATTTCTTGGCTATTTACAACAAAGAAAAATGAAACGCAAATAAAAATTAACTGAAAAGGAAGCATGGTCCTATGCTTTAAACGATGTCACAACTCAAATAGCATTATTTCTAATTTAATAAAATACAAAATTATAAAATGTTTAAATGTTTAAATGTTTGAACGACGTCTTGATTTAAAAATATTTTATTTACTCTTTGAGTTGAGGAACACCATCAAAAGCAAAAACCACAACAAAAAATATATTTATTAAAAAAACCCATAATAAATAAAGTATAATAAAAAAAAAATCTATATTAAGTAAAAACTAAACTAAATAAAGTATATGAACTAAAATAAAAGTAGATGATAATAATAATGATCACATAAATAAACACTTCAGAGTTCATAATAGCAAAACAGTGTATATAAAACACATAGTTTTACAGAATTGTTTTCGGAAATAGCAACAAACGTATGTGCAGCTTTAGAGAGAATATGTAGACTCAAATAAACAATTATTTATGAATGATGTGTCACTTACAACTAATACAGTGCAGAGTATCTACGTACGAGAAACTAATCTCTACTTTTAACACTTTATCTGAAATAAAATAAGACACGTACAATCGAGTCGTTTCCGTAGTACGTTCCACGCTAACGCCGCATTTCCAAACGTTGTGAAATTTTGTATAAATGTAATAATCTCGATGATGAAGTACGACAAGATATGTACGAGAGATGATCAATCTTCACTTACCAGGAGAAAGAAAATTAGAATGTAGTGATTTATCTGGATCATTGCACTCCTCTACTGCTTGATACATGGTGAGATGTGACCAAAGAGCGCTTTTCCCTTGCTTATTTTGCAATCCGTGACTCCAAACTCGTTCCAAGAGGTCGCAGAGACTCGCGACTAGCGTATTCTCTTCGACGTCGGACAACGATTCACCTCCATGACCTAATGCAACTGCTTCAGAACCCATTTTCTCAACCAACATTCTTTTTGTTTTTGATTTACAATCCTTTGAATACAAACAGGAAAAAAAGACAGACTGACGTGATTTCATCTTGTTAATACACGCACAAATCTATTTATTTCATTTTATTATATATACCTTGAGCAATTTTTCAACGAATGTCCAGTTTGCTTGTGCTATTAGTGCTGGACTCATGTCTGCGGAGAGCTTAGTTTGGGGCCGAGGCGATTGGGTCTCTTGAGGTGCCGGAGTCTTCCCGTTTGATTCCATGGATTTCATTTTGTATTTCCATTGAGTCTGACCTCTTCGACTACTGTTGTCGATATAAAATTGATTAGAACGACATTATGACAAAAATTTAAATAAAAAAGTATTTACATTAATATCAAATCATATGATAATACAGTGACCTAAAATATATACATGCACAATGCTGTACAATTTCTGATGTGAATTCTTACCGAAGTATACTAGACGTGAAGCAGGAAATAAGACGATAAATGTTAATATTCTTTGTTTTGATTCAATTGTCTAAAAAATTTATTTATACAAATAATTACCTTTGAGCTGGCTCTTTGTTTAATGCAACGCTGTCTAACAAAGGGAAACTTCGAAAATATGCTGCTCTATGAGGAACAATTTCCGTAGGTGGATTCGTTTCGAAATCTACATTTGTCAATCTCTGTTCCAATATTTTCTGCGATTCGTCAATACTTGTACAAGGTTCATAACGGGTCGATCTTATAATACCTTCCCCAACCTTTTTCCTATAACAAACGAATATCATTTAATCGTCATCCGAGTACCAATGAAAATATTCATAATACAAAAACATTCATCTTTTTTACAATTACCTTAGAAGAGAGATTCTTTGATCAAATACACGTATGTTGAAATCAAGCTCGCTCCACGTTGACATAACTTTGCTGTCGACCAAAGACGCGAACATTTGTGTCTCCAGAAACCTCGATAAAAATGGCAAATGCTGCGTAGGTTGATCGGATAAAAACGTAGCCTTATCAAAAACATGCATACTATCTCTATTATTCAACCATTCGTCTTTGTCCTGCAACAAATATAATTTCATTGTATACACAGAATTTTCATTCTTTCTATATACCAAAACTCCATCCCTAAAATGATTCTTATATCACTGATCATTTTGTTTCGCACCTGACTTGGTTGAATAACAAAGTGTTCGTAACTAGAAAAGATCTGTACAAAACGGTTCAAAAAAATCTCCCTAATGGCATTATTAAACATAAGCGTCTCTTGATATTCCTCTTGAGGTGAGAGTACTCGTTCCTTCACATTATTATCCTCTATTGAATCAATATCTTCCACATTTACTCCTGCAAAAACAAAAATAAATAAATAAATATGCACCGAAATGGTATTTAATTCAAAAGTTTCCTCGTTACATTTAATACGTAATTTATATAAATATATAAATATAAATAAAATATAATATAAATATACATTTCTAAATATATAATAATTTATATAAATATAAATTACCCGTTCTTTTGGCGATATCTACTATCCTTTGCAACGTGTCGGATGGCGGTGACGGTTCTGGTCGATCCCAATCCAGCACATCGTGCAACGAATGTTTTCTGCGAGGCAGATGAAACCCAGAACCAGGAAGCGTCAGGCTGCTAGTCATGATGTCGCCGTTATAATGATTTATGACCATGTTATCAGTCCTGGAAAGACGTTTCCGAATCTTAGCGATGTGAGGACACGCATACGGAATGGAGGAAAATGACGAATGCCTCCGACTTACTTGCCCGTATGTGGTACTTTGTACTTGTTCAAGAGAGCTCTAATCTCGGCAATGAATTGCATTTTATGGGGAAACACAGGTAACTCTTCCGGAAATTGGCTACTTTGCTTATCTATATCTACATAACAAAGATTTGCCTGTAATCAAGAAACGGAACAGAGGGATCTTAACTTAAATCTCTTCAAATACACCAGGCATCTGGTTTCGTAAAGATATTCATCAAAGGAGGAAAGCATGCAACTCCCAAAGAAACGCAGCCGTTCAATTTAATAATAGCCAGTGTTTAGAAAAATCCAGTTTCTTTAATCGAAGCGATCTGACTTCGCGTTAAATTTTTGTGATTTATGTAATAGAGTAATAACACATATTTAACAGATGTTAATGACAATAATAGAATTAACAATAGTGATAGAATTTAATGGAAACTACAGAATAATAGACTAATAATGATAATATAATTTAATAATAATTCAATAGCAGAATAATAATAATAAAAGTTAATGATAATTCAATAGCAAAATAATAATAATAATAGAATAATAATAATAATAATAAAAGTTAATGATAATTCAATAGCAAAATAATAATAATAATAGAATTTAATAATAATTCAATAGCAGAGTAATAATAATAATAATAGAATTTAATAATAATTCAATAGCAGAGTAATAATAATAACAATAGAATTTAATAATAATTCAATAGCAGAATAATAATAATAATAAAAGTTAATGATAATTCAATAGCAGAATAATAATAATAATAAAAGTTAATGATAATTCAATGGCAAAATAATAATAATAATAGAATTTAATAATAATTTAATAGCAGAGTAATAATAATAATAGAATTCAATAGCAGAATAATGACAACAGAAGTTTTAGAGACTGACTGATTTTAGAGGAGTCACTCACTTCGCTAGCAATTTTCAGTACACCGCCCTCGCTGTGCGCGTGCAGGCCCATTATAAACGGCACCGGCGCGTCCAAGAAGTGATGCAGACTGGCAGGCAATATCGGCACGTACACATGTTGCCAGGAAAATGGGTATAAGAGCGCCGTGATGCACTCGGACACCACCATCAACTTGTGGAAATCCGAACTTCTGAGCAACACTTGATTCTCCAATAGGACGCACGTGAACAATTGGATCACACAGTCCGCGCCGAGCCACGTGAACATGTCCTTCAGTGGATAATCAAGCATCGGCAACTCCTGCGACGGCATTGGCTGATGGATAACCAGCTCCAGCGGCGGTTTCGCTGGCTCGTCGTTTGGTATGAAGAACTTCAACGACTTTCCAGGCAATGGTACCGGCACGTTGTACAGCAAATTGTACACGTACGACTCTAGGCTAAGACCGGGTCCTGGATGTCTAGGAACACATCTGCAACGAGACGAGGAGAAAAAATACATTCTGACAGATGTATGAAACGATTTTCTGATTTTACAACCCCCGCTTAAGAAGCTTTCTCTCAGAATTTTGTTAAATAAAGAGAGTGCATCGTCGTTAATAAAATTGAACTTGCAACGAAAGTTTTCCAACGCGAATCGTTGGAAATTTCGTAACGATTAAAATTTCCTCGAGGGAAGTTTGATTTATCGTCTGCCTGCTTTCGACTAATGGTTCGCTTTCGGAAGACGAAAGTTGTTTATTAACGATGTTGCAACGTTATCAGACTCGACGGAGACGATGTAAGAACGCTGTAAGATAAATTGGAACGTATTCTACTTACTTGTAGAGATTAGTGAGGAACGTTTTCGCGGCATAGAGGTAAGGCTGCTGGCATAGCAAGGATATTGATTTAGTCACTAGCAACTTGTCTTTGGTAGAGTCGTAGTAGCCTAACGCAGCACCTGGCGAGTGTGCTGATAGCTTGAAATGCCGTGGCAACGATCGCGTGTTATGTCCATCCTGGCCTTTTCTCGCTCTGCCAATGCAATTTATACATTTCATATAAAAAATTCTTCTTCCACTCCCCTACACGCTCTGCTGATTATTATTTAAATTGAATTCCCTTACACGGAAATTAATCGTTTCAAAAAATAGCGCGGATTATTCAAAGAAAGTTGAATTGTGTAATAAAAAAAAAAAAAAAAAGAATGTAGAAGCTTTTATCCAAATACAGTTCTAATCGCGAGAATTTATGTCCGTTTCTTCCTCTTTCTTCGTGTCAAGATGTTAAAGTGCGGAATTATCTCTGAAAGTTCGCAGCGATTGTTCATTATCCCCGATGATGAAAAGAAAAGCTGAACTGGAACTGGAGCTCGATCATCTGGACAAGTAGAAAGATAATAACCCGATAAATCAATAATAGCATGCCTGTTCGATTATTCAGACGAAACTATCTCGATATTTCCAACAGAGGAACCTCTGTGATTACATTCCCAGATATATTTCGAATCTGAAGCGCTTGATGCTCGAACGAAACCAAAGGCTTTCGTAATTGCTTTTATTTTGCACGAATGCAAAACTACAGAGACACTTGAGATAACTAATCTGTTCGCTCGGGATGCTGGCGCGATTGATATTATACGCAGCCTAGCAAAATCCTCTGGGACTTTATCAGAGATAAAACTGCGTCAGTTGAAATTTGGCACGGTATTTGGCGAAGGAACATTCGTTCTCTTCAATGAAATTTCTTACGACCGACTCAACTTCAGACTTGAAGGCTGATTACGTAACGTACGTCACATCGTTGGATAATCCAAAGTTTGTTTTATAATCTTTTTCTTTTTTAAAGTCTGGAACATTAAATTGAAAGAACTGGACGTGGATGTGAAAGACTCTTGCGGATCTTTCCTGTGTAGAACACGCGAGATTAGAACATCATAAAAATATACAAGAGGCGCTCTTTTAACGCTAGAACTACCGATGATTGAAGCATAAAATTTCCATCAGAATAAAAAAAAAAAAAAAATAGTGAAACTTTATAATACAATGAAATACACAAGCTTTTATTTATACGTATTTTATGAAAAATCATTTAATGTATCTCTGAAGATACACTGTTTCATATATATAAAAAATGGTAAATTGGTCATTTTGATAGTTCTAGCGTGAATAACTCTACTGTACGTAATTATTGTAATCGCAAAAGACAAAGTCTATTTATTGTATATATTATTCTACGAATTAATATACCAATCAAAATGACCCTTTTCGGTCCGATTTATGATTTGAAAATTTAACAGAGACGACGACAATTACAAACCAGTTTCGTCACTTCATCTATTGATTCTTATAATTCTTACTAATTAACTGACTTAATAATTAACAGTAGAACTACGTGTATACGAATAAAATTTCCATCAGAATAAAAAAAAAAAAGAAAAAAAAAAGAAAATAGAACAACTTTATAATACGATGAAGTACACAAGCTTTCACTTATACGTTTTACGAAAAATCGTTTCGATCTCCAAAAAATACACATGTATAAAATACCTAGTGAAAATTACAAATTGATCATTTTGACCATTTTGGTGGTTCTAGTTGGTTAAACGGTTGCAAGTATCAACCGTTTATCGCTCGAAGGGTTCGAGAAGAGAGAGGGAGGGGGGGGGGGGCGGATAAAGAAGCGGAAAGAAGAACTCACGTTGGTGGTGTACCGTTTTGGCCGCTGCTCAGTTCCGTGATGTGCATCGCCTGCAGTGTTTGCATAGCCGCGCATATCTTGCGATTCCGACACTCCTCGTAGAAAACAAGACTGAACCCGTATGTTCTGTGCCCGTCCTCCTTGGTGAGCACGAACGAGTGGAACGTCGGCTCCACCGAGTGTTTCTGGGTACGGAATTTCAGGCCGCTCGGCAGGCAGAGCTGCAAGATTGAATATCTAATGAACAGACGTTGCACACAACGCCTTTTCATTTCTTCCTATACTGCGCTTCTTCCCTACTTCGTATTTCCTTCCTCTCCGCTCTCTTTCTTCTTTTTTTTTTTTTTTTTTTTTCGCTGTCTGTTCGCAACTGGGACGCGGCTACCTATACATTACATACGTATGTGTAAACGTAGTATGTACAACACTATGTACCACGTGCGTGTACTACGTATACTAGAAGAGTATTTTGCACTCTTAATTTCACGTCCTAGTAATTCTGTTAGAGCTGATGTCGAAAAGTACCGGTGCCTTTTCTTCTCTTTCTCTTCACGCCGAGGGTGTTTTCGAGAGAAGCCGCTAGAAGTAACGGGCAGATAAATGAAGACGAGTGCGGCGTGTTTCCGGCGCGCTCGTAGCGCGTCAATCCTTTCCGAGTTTGGGGGAGGTGTCTGTTTTTAACCACTTGCGCTGGCAACTGATTGCGGACCATAACGAGTGACCAAATTGTATACAATAATTCGTCGCTTTCTTTCTGAACTCGCCGGTACGATATCACTGGATAGAAATTACTGAGAAGTAATAAATTTGTTATTTGTTTTACCTACTTAATTATACTTGAATATACTTAAAACTGAGAAAATGTTGCAATTTTGTGACAAACAATTCTCGACGTGCGTGGCACGTCATTCCAGTGCAAGAGGTTAACCTCTTGCGCTGGCAACTGATTGCGGACCATAACGAGTGACCAAATTGTATACAATAATTCGTCGCTTTCTTTTTGAACTCGCCGGTACGATATCACTGGATAGAAATTACTGAGAAGTAATAAATTTGTTATTTGTTTTACCTACTTAATTATACTTGAATATACTTAAAACTGAGAAAATGTTGCAATTTTGTGACAAACAATTCTCGACGTGCGTGGCACGTCATTCCAGCGCAAGAGGTTAACCTCTTGCGCTGGCAACTGATTGCGGACCATAACGAGTGACCAAATTGTATACAATAATTCGTCGCTTTCTTTTTGAACTCGCCGGTACGATATCACTGGATAGAAATTACTGAGAAGTAATAAATTTGTTATTTGTTTTACCTACTTAATTATA